CTGTCGCAGTTGTGGAAGAATATATATGTAACAATGTAAAACATTATGAAGAGAGCGCCGAAAAAGCTCTTTCGTGAGTCCAGTCTCTTCTTATTATGAATATGCGCGTTTGATTACAAACAAGAGAAAAGTCCGGTCACGTGATGTGCAAATTAGCCTGTGGCAGTGATGTTATGTTAAGTCATCGCTGTGCCGGGGTGTGCGTCATGTCGCATGTTCAACATGTTTAGAGAAAGATCTAAGTCTTTAATGATACAGCCATGCTTTGCTGGAAAGTTCGAGAATCTGTGTCAGTATATATAAAGGCTGGCTGTTGTGAGGTGCGAGGCAAAGACTGACACACGGACATACGGAATTACATGGATCTTTCACTGGAGTTGCCCATTGTTGTTTGCCTTCGTCACAACGCCATCGTCTGACCCTGACACTTCGTGCCTGACTGCTTTCATTTGTAAACAAGCTCCATTTATCTGATCTCACTGTGATTACCAAGACTCTGTTGAGTTAATATTTTAAATATGTGACCCATAACTTTAGATTTCTTTGTGACTCAATTGCATTGTATTAGAAATCTGTATTGTGATTCATTGTAGCTTGCTCATTGTTTGCTCAATATATTATTGACTATTTTAGACTAGTCTGTGTTATATTTTGCTGGTTCAAAGGGGATTCTTAAACCTTTTGTCACGGTTATTATTTAACCGTAACAGTGTGCAATTTCGCTATATTTCATTGACTCATAAAGCCTACACGATGTTTCAAAATAAACATAAAAATACAGTTGAAATTCCTATATGCGTTTCTTTTTGGGGAGAGTATAGTACAGTAGAACACGGATATAACGAACTCCAAGGGACCAAGAAATTTAGTTCGCTATATCCGGTGTTCGTTATTCACATTTGACCGCCATCTTGGATTGTAGAGATGTAGAGACACGTATATGCTGAGGCTACAAATTTTTATTGTTGTACATTGACATAATATTAAAATTCTGAATTTATCATTCACAGACATTAGCTAGAACATGTTTTATTTGTTTTTAAACGCATTAATGACCCGTGTTCTACTGTAATTAGAAAACTTACCTCTACAAAGTCATGTACAATATGGACAGCAACTGATTCAGTATGTGCAATGGTGAACGTGGGTCTGTTTCTGAACACTGCCTTGTTTATCACCCACTGAGGAAATGAATTAAAGTACGAGGAGGAAAATATTCTGACTGTTAGATTGTTATCTTTATGGGTTTACAATCCAATAACAACAAGGAAAACCCAGTACTTGCCGTAGTATCACTACTGTAAACTGTATAATTCAAATCCGCAATTTTCACAATCTAGATTATACGTGCAGAACACAGGCGATCGATGCATGGGATACGCCCCTTATACTACTATAGGAACAAGGTAATTCACCCGCCATATGGGATACCTCGATAAACCTCTATTCACGCTGATTTCTCGCTTGACATGGATAAACATGGATATATTCAGCCACGTAAGTATTCGTTTTCGTTGTACAACTATATCTCACCTTCATAAAGCCCCTTTATTTGGCCTTATTAGGCCGTTTTGGCCGCTTATTGGCCGATATCGCATTTCTGAAAGCCGGAAGTTTACGTTACGCGTCCGGGCACTCCGCACCGAATGCTACCAAGCTCTCTGATTATCCATATTACGATCACAACACAACGCACATATGGCCAGGTTGAAAATGTCACCACGCTGAATTTTCACGGTATTTATAGATGTCATATGCATGGAAATGTATACTTTAAACGCTGAACAGACATTTGCATATGAATTGATAAGAAAAAGGACACAATGTAGTCGTTTTAGGACAGGCTGGCACTGGGAAATCTCTTCTCATAAGGGAAACTTTGCACGCCTGTCATCAGCTGGGAAGAATGTCAGTGTTGTGGCCAGCACGGGAATGGCTTCAACACAGTTTCTGGAGTGGCAGAACATTGCATTCCTGGGCTGGGATGCAAGATGGGCATTTGGAAGGTGAAAAATTGCTGAAGTATGTCCTATCAAACGATGACACAGTTACGCGTATCAAGGCTACAGATATACTTATTGCAGATGAAGCCAGTATGATCAGTGCTGCCATTTTCGAGAAGGTAAGATGGCTGAACCACAGGCGATCGATGCATGGATACGCCCCTTATACTCCTATAGTAGTATAAGGGGCGTATCCCATGCATCGATCGCCTGTGGTGCAGAACACTAAGTTTAGCCTCTCAATTAAATTTATTTAATTTAAAGTAAAAGTTAATTTTAAATATTTTAAAATTGTCAACACATCTGTACAAGTCCTTGTGGTATAGAGGATTGTTCACTGGAACCGTTTATGTTAATATTCAGAAACACACAGGTTGCAAGTTCAAAGCCAGGCTGCTGCCTAAACTTTTGCAAATTTATAACATAATTCACATCTGGCAATCTGATCACATGATCAGAAGCACATGGGCTCAGTCAGACAGAAGGCCTCCATGTTGACAGCAGCACACATTGAGTTACAGCAGTTATTTCTTGAATTTATGTTGCTTCTATGTCCAAAACGAGTTAAGAGAACACATATTTGATTCAATTAATTGCTTATTTAGAAAAAATGGATTTTGAATATTTGTACACTTTATTAGGTTCAGGTTTGGATTGTATAATAAACAAGTATTTTGTTTGTCCTTTATAGTTTCTCCGAACCTCTCGTCAACTGTTTTGTATACAATGATACAACGTATGTACTTAATGCAACGCTACAACAACGATAGACATAGAAACGGAAATAAACTTTGGTGAGAGTGTATCAGACTATAGTACTGTCGGAAATAGAAAAAAAACTGTTTTTAGGCTGTTACTCTGTATCCCTAACATTTACACAATTGCAAATAGCATATGTCGAAATAACCCACTTCGGCCTAACTGGGCGTTCAGTGGGATGCGTTATACGATATCCAGAAAAGCATGTTTACTCGTAAAATCGGGCAAAACTTAGAAAAAATACGAATAGCTGCTCAAAACAATAGATCAAACTATAGATGGCAATTAGGTCGCTCAGCCAGGTATGACGACGGACCGTCGGGGTCATCTCAAAGATATTTTGTGCTTTGTCCATGTGTGTTGACTATGTCTCATCTACTGATTAACATCTTACGTGCCTTTCTTTCATAAAAGTTTATGTTGAGATATGTTGTAAATTGTACCCGAAAACCATGACGTGCCGTGTACCTCCCCAGATCGACAGGATATATTATTTGTAAATTATTAAAGGAATATCTTATCTTAGCTTAGCTGATATCTCTATCCCCAAGCCCGACCCTAGGCGACTCCTCCTATCTGTTTCTTTTTATAGTGACAGTGAGACTGCATGGTAGCTACATCCTTAATAGTTTCGGCATAAAAGTTAATATTTTTGACGTCAGCTATCGTTTATAATGAATCTACGTCTAATTTCAAATTGGGCATTTAAAAAGTGTCCTTTGTAATACAATATCGTCGCATACTAATTTGCATAAAGCCATGGTCTGTTCCAAATACGTCTTTTTGCTCATTTCTGCACTAATTTCCCCTCAGTAAAGTCCCTTTTCTCCGTTTCCTATCTCTCTACCACTGAGACTGTAGTTAGGCCGAACTTAGTTTAACAGATATTTCACACTTTCACTTATCAACTACATAAATTGTAGAGATAAATGAGAAAATACAGTTTTTTTCTATTTCCGACAGTACTATAATGTGTTTCTTGCCACAACATAGATTATGTTACTCGGGACGTACGAAACACTCGAATGCAACATGGATGCGTGTCAAAGTACATGGAGCTTTCATTGTTACAGGAGAAGCTATTAGAGAAAAGTAAAAGTTGAAGATGACGTGGTTCGTTATAGTACAGGTTCAGGGGTCATGTTACAACTTAGTCAGTGAAATACTTCTCTACACCAGCATACACCTGAGCGCCTTTCAGTATGTTTCAGGATCATACGTTGTGCGAAGTCAACGCGTCTGCATAATCTGAATCCTGGGGTCAGCCATAAAGGTATGTACATGTACTTCTAAGTGAATGGGGAGTGTTGAGATATTTCTTACTCACCTGTAACTCCTCCTCTCCAATGTAAATGTAAATGTAAATGATGCGAAGTAGTTTTCATGAATGTAATAATATATGAGACATTAATAAACATGATGTTATCACCTATAGTAATAATACCTGCTATATTAGGTAACGTTACATGTTGTACGAAGATATTTCAACAGGTGACTTGTATGATGTATGTACACATTGTTGATACTATTATATACACATATATGTATGTGGTTATTCATAGTACTTATTTAGGTTTCAGTCAGCATTAAAGTAAGCGTTTAGTATGATTACTATAACACACTAAAAAAGGCTAAATACATGGTTGTGCTATTATCGCGAATGTTCTCATTTAAATAACAGTTTTATACTATCGGAAAAATACCAAATATGTTTATTATATATTTCGGCTTGATAGCTGATGCTAATTTGGGATTAAGGTGTACATTTTGTAATTTTAGGAAAAACACTTATTTGACGAACTTAAAACAATATCGATTAATATATTATTCCGGATCGTATAAACATGCACATTCAGACAGTCTGAAATAGAAATCATTTTGCAGGGGTGCGCGCGCACACACACACACCTTTGTGCTGAAAGTTTGTTAATGACAATTGGAACTCCGGTGAAAATGAAATGTGCACCCCTCCTTTTCTCAATAGTGTACACCCCCCACCCCTTTCTCAAAATGCTGTATCCGCCCCTGATCTGGCATTTGTCACTGAACGTGGTGACTACAAACAGCGAAAAGAACGTTTCAATAATTGCAAGAAATCTATTACCAAAGGTCGCAAAAATCGTTTAACTGATATGGTGCCGACAACCGGAAGTTCATAGTCTGAGCGAAACCCGACAGTTTGCCTTGGTATATGGCACAACTGACCAGCAAATTGTGACGCCTCAGAAAAGTTGGCCCCATTCCAGGATAAAAAGTAGGGTTCAACTCAACTCCTGCTCTGTTACAAATTATTTATTATTATAGGATATTTATATAGCGCACATATCCAAGCAACTAGTACATCGCCCCTAGTCCTAATCACTGGATGTTTCACTAGATCAACGGATGTCATTTTAGCTGGTATTGTTTTAACCAACTCAAATTCTTCATCACAGCTATACAACAGCAGACCATACCACAAACCCAAGCATCGCGTTCAGAGCACATCCAGAAGCATGATACAACATAAAGTTTTGCAACAGCAGTTGTAAAATAACATATGTCTTTAAGCTGAAAATCCAAATAGTTGTCTAAATGAAAGCATTGAACCCTTGTTATAACCACGTAAAAACGAGGGGGTACGGGGAACGTTTCAGTCCCTTGGGCGTCCCAGAAACCTATCTTTTGGGGTTCGAATCCCAGTTAGCCCTGACTGTTGCTTGGTTTGTCAGCATTATACCCTTCCTTGTGCCCTTTCACCCTAGTGGTACACGTCTGAGACCTGCATCACTTGGGCCTTTGCTCAAACACTGAGTAATAACGCGGAAAAAATAGAATACAGTTAAAATCGTGTTAACTCACCCACCTGACAGTCACTCACACTGAGTGGCATGATCTGAACATGATCTCAAAGTCACTCTCCCCTCGATTACGATGGAAGACAGGGTACAGGATGAAACGTTTATTCAAGCAGCCAGGATTATACATTTAAGCATTAAACATGGCTGTGTGTTAATGTAAAAAATAATAATAATATATCAATATGAAGCAAATTCACGTTATATTTATCCAACACAATTTATATGAAAACGACAGAACATTATGAACAGGAATATAACAGTAAACGTTAGAATGTTACGGGATAGGAACGATGCCATATGTACAATTCACAAACATATCCTTTAAACAGACGTTATATACAACAGAACATAATGAACAGGAATATAACAGTAAACCTTAGAATGTTACGGGATATGAAAGATGCCACATTTACAATTCACAAACATATCCTTTAAATAAACGTTATACACAACAGAACATAATGAACAGGCACGTTCCACCATGGCTATAACAAAGGTTGAAATGTTACCCAATAGGAACAATGTCAAATTTCCCCTTTACGTACAATTGGCTTCTTCCAGTTGTAACTGTATTAATCACCAATATCCATGGTGGTTGTTAATCAGTCTCATTCATACCCTTATGTTATTTTTCCTACTCCCAATTAAATGTATATAATATTATAGCTGTTGTGTTTTAGATTTAGACAGAAAGTTCTGGAAGCTGCTATAGGGTACTACAACCTTATGTGTCGTAGTAGCAATTTCTAGAATCTTATTTGTGTGTACAGAAGGGGATATCCTTTCATAAGAAGGCCAGCATTTTGTGTGATCACTCTCTACCCTAAGATATTCTGCCTAGACCTAATTTCTTAACAGTTGAATTACTGTTACGGAGAGGTGAATATTACCATCATTGTCTTTATAGCTATAATCACTGTTCTTGGATTATATTACCTTTGAATTTGTATGGCTACGCTATTTTGTACTGCCAGTGTGATACCTTTGTGCTAATTTGTGAACTTTAGAATAAATTGTTAATTACATCCCATTGGTTCGTTGTTTGTTGGTTTCACAGCTAGCTGCTGTAAGGACCGATTCCCGGATAATGTTTTATTTTCTACCTGTTAATCGATACGTTGCAATAAGCTTGGTCGGTGCTCTGATTTTCCGTGTGTGAAATACGCATTATGGCGGAAAGCGCACATAAAATCAGTGTAATGGAATAATGGAATAGTCACGTTAGGACTATGAATTGCACTATGAATTCAACATCAATCACGTTATACGTTCTGTTTCACAATCATTATCACCTTATCACATGGTATTTAACACGTACGAACATATTAATTATAACACATACACGCACAAATATAACTGACAGTTATGCCTTCAAGGCTGTTTTATGCGATTTTTATCATTACCTCCATCAAAATATATCAATAAGTATCTATGGTTCAGGAATACCGTCAAAACGATGCAATGTCAGGTTACGCACGCACGCGCACGCACGCCCATGGTATGTCATCATTCAGTGAACTATTACACTGTTTAGGTAAGTTCAGGTCTAATTATTGAAACATGTCCATGACGTTAGCCTTGAGCGAAGGTATTTCTGTGCGCTGATTCATCGTGTATGTGGCATTTGCTGGACCCCAGTCCTTAGCAGGCCTCAAGGCCAGCTTTATACTCTGCAAGGTGAACAAATGTGCATTAATTAGAGGCTGAGGTTGAGGTCAATGGATGCAGCAGTTGCTCGTCCCGTACATAACTTTATTTTATTTCCCAAATGCAAGTAATTTTTCATCCACTAATTCGAAACATATGATCATAAAACTATATTTACATATTTTCATCTCTGTGGACACCAAGAGATGGACTTAAAGGTGGACTAAAAATGACTTTGGGCAATATCGAAACTGTAAGGAGTGATACGCTGCTTTCAGCAAATCCCTATTTTTGGTGTGCCGAGCAAAGACTGTAAGCATTCTGCTACCCATAGGCATCCATATTTCAACTTTGCCTGTGGTTTGGCAGTCATCAGTTTCGATTCCCTCGCTACTTCTAAAATAAGTTTTAAAAGATTGAGATTTAAAGTTACCAAATTTCTTTGAAGTTTCACCGCATTTGTACATGTGTCCTTGCCCAACGGGACATTCCATTCCACTGACGCCTCAAACAATACCTCGTGAACAGAGATGTCAAAAGCTCCAGATCTCATATACTTCCGATCTTTTAGATTTGAAAATATTTGTAACCAGCTGGAAAGATTGATATATCCAAAATATTTATTATCATCTATCTATGATATATACCATTTATGACATGATATATACCATTTAAGATTTCTATTTGTGGCCGTAATCACACACGCAAAGTAACTCCAACATAGAATATCTCATGGAATGTCGTTCCACAGATTATATGTTCGTCATGGTCTCGTATAACATATGGGGCAGTGATGTAGCCTAGGGCTTACAGCGTTGGTTCGACTCGCCAAAGAACAGGGTTCGATCCCCCACATGGTTACAACGGGAGGAACTATCCATGGTATCGGACTCGCGTGTGACCGACCACTTGCCCAATTAGATGCCTTTTCTTACGACAATCATAACTTTCTTCACACTTCACTTTGGGGGCGTTAGTGTAGCCTAGTGGTTAAAGCGTTCGCTCGTCACGAACCGGGTTCGATTCCCCACATGGTTACAGCGTGATATTGCTGGAATATTGCTAAAAGCACCGTAATACCATACTCACTCATTCGTATAACATGTAATAATAAATGAAAATACTACTGGCTATCTCTTAGAGAATTAACCCGATAATGTATATCATCCTTCGGTCCGCAAACATGAAATCATATATTACCTTCTTTAGAGAATGGATTGCCATGTGTTTCCTGACAGCCAGTACCATGTAGACCGGGAGAGGGAGGGTGGAGATGACGGCCACACACCAGCCTATTGTACTGGCGTAGCTGGGAAACTCGTAGTTGCCGTAGGTCGGTGGCTGGTAGTTGTTAAGTGTCAGGATGAAAACTGTCTGAAACAGATACAAACACTACATTCAGTGTGGTTATAGTCGTCTTGTGGTGCATTGTTTAGAATATTTTAAACAGCTGTACTCTTCCTCGCAACACCCGGTGTCTTGATTCTGAGTGATCCATTCATACGCTTTTCTCAGCTATTTTGTCTTTAACGCCCAGCGGCGACAGTTTCGGCAGATTTTCTTCTCCTTGGTAAATTCATAATTACACTTTTCTTGGATTAATACAAAGAGAAAAAATGTCATACACAGTGTTGAAGGCACTACCGAGACGCCGGAACTGTTATCATGACTCCTCTAAACTGTATTACCTACCATCAAGATTGCCGGTGTCACAAAGGCCAAGAGGATCTTTACTGGTGACGATAGTGCTTTGCCAGTCATCATCTCTACGTCCCTGCTCATTTGTTTTGCCCCTGAATGAAGCATGCACAATTTGCCGTGACAAAAAGGTTTAAGAGTCCCCTTTGAACCAGCACAATATAACACAGGTAAGTCTAAAATATTCAATAATATACTGAACAAACAATGAGCAAGCTACAATGAATCACTTTCGTAATAAGGTACATTACTTGAAGCTCATTTTTGATGTCCCCCGCCATGAGTACTGGTAAAAGTATAAAATCTTACTCACTCATTCACTTATTAAAGTAGGGATATTGGTTACACAATGCCATTTAGAAAGTTGCCATATGTAACATATGTTATATTTGGTATTACACTTTTTTTTGTAAAGTACAGATTCTACTTTTTTGGGGTTGAGTCCCATCCAGGATTGGAATCCCAAATATAACATATGTTACATTTGACCACTTTCAAAATGGCATTGTGTAATCATAGCTTTCGGCCATGGGAGCCGTGCCAATTTACACTCATCAGAGGGGTACACAAAGTCCGCAGTCTAGACTACCAGTTATCCGACTTCCATTTTGTGGAAGTCACGGTGGCTGAGCGGGTTAGGCGGCTGAATTTGTGTGCTGGCGATTAGGTGCTTGACTCTGAGGGTGTGGGTTCGAATCCCGGATGGGACTCAACCCAACAAAAGTACAAGAATCTGTACCTTACTAAGAAAGTCTAATCCCAGATATAACATATGTTACATAGGGATACTGGTCCTTGAAATTAAGATTATTCTTTAGCCTATGCTGGTAAGATCATTGATGGCATATATACCAACCGTATATCCACATCACGGCAACACACTCCAGCGTGCTGAACAACAAGGGCCCCAGAGCCGCTACATACCAGTCTAGCAGCTGGAACATGTATGGACCTCCCTGCAATAACACACTGTGAGGTGAGTGGATGAAACTATTATTCTTTCAGCTGTTCCCGTAACCGCTGTAGCCACTACTAAATCTACCCGTGAAGATCCGGGTTAGCATGTATCTTCAGAAACCGCTGTAGCCACTACTAAATCTACCCGTGAAGATCCGCGTGAGCATGTATTCGTTCAAGTAACCATTCATTATTTGTTATTGTGTTTATTCGTTCAACGACATCCAATCAGCATTATTATTTGTTATTGTGTGTTATTTGTGTTGGTTGAATAATACGCAGAAAATGTTATTAACACAATCGTGTGTTTCCGTCAAGTGTGCTTCTTGTAAAACATATTGAATACAACAAATACCGAATTTAATACGTAAGGAGAAACATGTTGAAAAATATACCTTATTCAAGGCAGTTGCATTTGTTTAAGAAAGGAATAACCAAAATACGTTTTCTTATTTCCACAGAATCTTAAATCCAACTCATTCTAATACTTGTAGACCCGTGAAGATCTGGGTTAGAATTGATCTTCTTCAGTAATCCATGCTTGTCGTAAGAGGCGACTAACGGGATCGGGTGGTCAAGTTCGCTGGCTTGGTTAACACATGTCATCGGTTCCCAATTGCGCAGATCGATGATCATGCTGTTGATCACTGGATTGTCTGGTCCATACTCGATTATTTACAGACCGCCTCCATATAGCTGGAATATTGCTGAGTGCGGCGTAAAACTACTAAACTCACTCACTCACTACGACTACTACCGGCAATGCTCCCACTACAACTGTTACAACTACTTCCCCTGTTACATCTACTATTGCTGCAACTAAGTCTACAACAGTCCTGGTTCAGGTACTTTCACGGCACGTTAAACATACAGTATACACAATTGTAAACCAAAAGTGTTCTATAATCTGATTGGTTGAACAACATGACCGAATGGTATTCGATTACCGGAAATTCCAAGGCCATTCACTGTGTATTAATACGTGCTAACATCGCACACACCATTGTATTGTTACGCCGTCAGCAGTGGTGACGTCATTCAAATCATATTGTGATGTAAAGTCCGAATAAGGTCACAAATGAGCAGTTCCAGATGCTACCATGGGAAACGGCCATTGATGACATTTCACTGCTGTACCCGTACTCGATGTCAATGAGTGCAGACAGAAAACGTGTGGACTTTTTAGTTTACTTTTGTGTTTATTAATGTCGAAAACATTATGTTGGTTAATTTCTGGGAGTTATTGAGATTTAAAGCACGGGAATATTTCATTTGAAACCTCCGGCTAATGCCGTCGGTTCCAAATGAATTCCCGTGCTTCAAGTACTCAATAACACCCGGAAATTGACCAACACATGATGTTTATCTCATAAATAGAAACTGGTTAAAGTCAGCTTTGTACGAACTTATCACCTGTGTGCAGAACACGATTCCAAGAAGAAAGGACATCAAGCAGCATCCTAGTGTAACCAGCATCCTCCTCTTAGCCAGCGTCCGTGGGTACTGGTCAACCAGGGCAGTAACAACAACTTCCATACTCATGAACTTCAAGAAAGAAATAGTGTTAAGTGTTTCCGTTACCATAACCACAATGAAATGATACAACGACTCGTGTACGTAATATGTTTTGCCTCAGCTTTTACGGTAAGTGTTTTACCATTAGAGAGTCTACATTATTCATCAGGATTTTCAGACTTCCACTTGAAAACAGTGTAGGATATATGTAGTTCAAAATGTTACTATGATATACATACATACATACATACATACATACATACATACAAATATTTGTAAAGCGCTTTTTATCAATCTAATTGCTCAAAAGCGCTATCTGAGTCCACTTTATCTATGTGCAGAGGTGAATAGGTGCGTCTTGAGTCCACTTTTAAAATTTGACAGTTCTGTTTCGGAACGAAGGATGGATGGTAAATTGTTCCAGAGGAAGGGTCCTGCTCTAGAGAAAGACCTGTCCCCATATGACTTAGTTCTAGTTTGTGGTATTTCAAGGAGAGACTGGTCCCTTGAGCGGAGTGATCTAGTTTGGTGATATGGTGTAAGGAGATCCGAGAGGTATTTTGGAGCTAGACCGTTTAGACACTTGAAAACAAGGAGCAGGATTCTGTAGTCGATTCTGAAGCGAATTGGAAGCCAATGTAGGGTTTTGAGGGCAGGAGAGATGTGTTCAGTCCTTTTAATTTGACAGATCAATCGTGCGGGCTGAATTTTGTGCCTTCTGTAGCCTGTAGAGGACTTGTTTTGGCACACCAGACAGCAAAGAGTTACAATAATCCAAACGGGATGTTACATATGCTTGAACTAGAGCTTGTGCAGATTTCACATCCAAGTATCGACGGATCAAACCAATGTTGCGCAGATGGAAATAACATTGGCGACAGACATTGCGAACATGGGGTTCCATGCTGAGGGCAGAGTAAAAGATTACACTAAGATTGCGAACATGTGGCCGCATTTTTATTGCAGGTGCAGGTATATAGATCTATGTGCTTTCTCTCTGAAGACTAATTTTCAATAATGTGTGAATATAACTCATTCTGTCTTCAACGTGAGTCTGGGACCTCATTTGTAAGGTCCAAAGCGACTGGTTTTGTTGTCTCATATTTTTCATTTGTTTGTTTTGACATTGTGAAATGCAAACCTTCAACTAATCAGATGGTTGCGAAACGGGGTGAACTTGTCTTTACGCGGTAGACGTCAGTGAAGGTCAAGTTCACTGAGAGCTGCTCAGTTGAGCACTTAGATTCGTACCTGCGAATCCAAACCAACCATTAGCAGCATCAGGAAGAACAGGAATGACCACAGCTGAGGAAACGGAAGTTTTGCCAGAGATTCTGGATAGGTTACAAATCCTAAACCTGGACCTTCAACAGAAACATCAAATGTATTAAAATATTGATACAAATAAAAGCGGTTAAACCCATTCCATACCCACACCAATGCTCTGCCAAAGAGTCGATTGACCGATTTTGCCTACATCATGAGCATGTGTCTATGAGGAATTATCAAATAGTGATGGTGACATCTGTCAACAAACTCGACCTGAAATTCGCCATTTCTGCACACATCAACTAGAGCCGTGTGTGTCTGTGTGTCTGTGTGATTGTGTTGGGTCTCTTGCCCACTTGTAAATCGTACTGTCATTCCGTTCATCAGGTTAGCTAATTACATCAAAGGACAACAACCTACTATCCTCTGAAAAACCCTGTTCTTGATTGTTCTTCAAGATTTTCCGCTATCTTATACTGCGATTGTACAAATATAATAATGTGATTGCCTTTAAAAACAATGAAAAAATCCCCTACCTGATGAAACTACCTTTGCAATGGGAACACCCATTTTCTGTGCCATCACCCCGAGAACAGCAAATGTGACCAGGCCAGAAAAGATGCTGGTTCCCTCTGATACTGAGGCCAGTATGAGGCAGTCTCTGTCAATATACATGTATATTAATTACTAGTAGTTCACCCATCTCTTTCTCATCAAGACACCAACAAAACCCTTGCCATAACTATAATATACAAAAGGTCAACGCCATTAAACAACCAGTCTCGATCCTCCTCCAACACTGATTCCACTTTGAGCAATAGGAAAAGCGAAATGTCTGTCATACAGGCTCCCTGTACGATTCGTACTGTACTATACTCGTGTGTTTATGAATCATTAGGGGCGGTGGGGTAGCCTAGTGGTTAAAGTGTCGGCTCGTCACACCGAAAACCCGGGTTCGATTCTCAACATAGGTATAATGTGTGAAGCCCATTTCTGGTGTTCCCACACCGTGATATTGCTGGAATATTGCTAAAAGCGGCGTAAAACTATACTCACTCACTATGATTCATTATCTTTATGAGTGAAGAGTTCAGTCTATACTACCAAAATGCTGGCAGTCTGAAACATGTGAACTTTGGGCTTCCAAAGATGCTATTGTTCAACAAAAGCTGGTTGATTTGAAAACAAATGTTAATATATTTCTGAATCCTAGGATCTTATCCTTTACATTCCGAACAATACCGCTTGGGTTTTTTTTCAAGCTTTTGCAGATATGTGTTTAGGGACCGTGTCTATTTCTTTCACACCCACACCCCGAGTCTACAATCGAACGGAATCAACATTTTTGTAGAATTGTATGATCTTTAAGAAAAGACATGACCAACTAATGTTTAGTGAATATTTAATATTCGGAATATCCTGAATTCTTAGTATAACGTGAAATGGTTTTGGCAAAAATGGGCAAATGAAGTCTTCATCTGAATGTTTCTGATAACTCAAATCTGAAAGGGATTATTATGATGACTTATAAATGGAACATATGTTATATTTGGGATTACACTTTCTTAGTAAAGTACAGATTCTAGTACTTTTGTTGGGTTGAGTACCATCCGGGAATTGGGCACCTAATCGCCAGCACACAAAGTCAGACGGCTGCGCGGGTTAAGCTGGTGAATCTGAACTTTACTAAGAAAGTGTAATCCCAAATATGACATATGTTACATTTGACCACTTTCTAAATGTCATTGTGTATTCATGACTTATAATTGACATAAACGTAAATGAGTCATGCCCGTACGCTTTTGCATCTACTCAAGGTTTCAACACTGCCCCTTTGTCCTTTATCATTGTAATAAGTGCCCAATTCGTCGTCAAATGCCGAGCTAAGAAAGAATTTAGCAAATGACAACTCAAACAGCTACTGCATTTACCACAACTACAATTAATGTTTTTGAAACTATACGATCTATCCTGTTAAAACAGACTATGTTCATTTGTCATCTAATTTCAGATTCGCTTCATGGACATTATTCCATTTACAATGATGCGTGCAGACTCCAAATTGATTTCTTGCATGACTAACGATTAGCGAAAGTCAATCAAACTGAATAGCATCAATTGCCAATCAGCACACACCACAATTTGACGGCTTAATTCACCGAGAAAATATGTACAGATCAGATATACACACATAGATAACTACCGCCCCTCCGTACTTCAATTTAACGTTTGATGAATTATTGTATCTGGTTAATTACACTGATTACAGATAATGACTGCAGCACCACGCTTCAATTTGACGATTCAATTATATTATGAGATTTTAATTATGATCATGTTTCGTTCCTGACAGACAGATAACAATTCACTCATATACCTTTTTTATGTCAAGTTACTGTTCAAAGGGTATTGTTGCCGTTAAAGGTTCCATGGAACAATTACTCCCATCCAGTTCTTGACTATGATACCGGTGAACAGTCGGTTAGAATTGGTCTTCAGCAACTCATTCTTGTCGTAAGAAGAGACTTACGGGATCAGGTAATATTAGGAGTAATTCATGTCTTTATATGATTGATGTCTGGGTGCGTAGATGATGCTCGGAATGTCCATCACTGGATTGGCTGGTCTAGATTCGGTTACGTAAAAAGCGCTGTTATATAGCTGAGCGAGGGGACTATCAACGAAACATTAATGACTGAGAAAAGTCTATTTCAGTACTACATGTCTGCATGGAAGATAGTACTTCATCAATCTCTTAATGCGTTTTAGACTACACGTTTATTTGAACAAATACTGTAATGACTGAATGCATTTGAATTTGAACAATAAATATTATGTTACCGCAATAATTCTATAGTACGCTTCAGTATACTTCTAATTCACCCATAAGGCCCATTAGTGCTTAATTTACAAACTATTCGTCCTGGGCATTTGTAAAGTTCTGGCTATAACTGTGCACTAAATTACTCATTGAATACGAAAACAAATTTAAATGCCTGCCTGATATAACTGACTATGGTTTTACGCCGCATTTAGCAACATTCCAGCAATGGGGAACACCAGAAATAGGCTTCACACGTTGTGCCCATGTGGGGATCGAACCTGGGTCTTCGGCGTGACGGATGAACCTTTAACCACTAGGCTACCCCACCGGCCCTGTCTTATATAAATTCACTGTACACATTTCCAGGACATACGTCACTGTCTAATCACAGTGAAACATGACATAGCACCGTGTGTGGCCATACCGCTGACACTGAACGTATTACGAATTTTACATATCCTAAAATCAATTGTTTTGCAAGAAGATTGAATTTAATGTGAATCATAAGAATTTGAACACCTTTTGTTTCAGATATACATAATATCATTGTAAAATTATGCCGGTTTTGACAATGTGCCGGATTAGACAGCTGCCGATGTTGGCAGGTTTCACTGTATATGTTCCCTCCAGATCCTAACATTGTTGTTTGTTATTAGTGATTACAATTACTCATTTGTTTGAAACGCGTGGTTTGAAATGTCACCAAACCGGACGTGGGGTGACTCTCGCACTTGTACAGGGTTATCAAAAGGTTTTGAGCCTAAAATACTTCTGATATGTGCATTACAAAAATAACTGCATGATATTGAAGAATGGTTTATATTATTCACATAAACGTAATATTGATATGCACATATCGCTAGTTTCCGGTCACGTGACATCTAATCACATGTACCCTTACTGAAACGGTAGAAATGGACATATGCTTTTTGATAGCACCTAGTACAAAATCCACGATAACCACGATGTTTCGGAGGATAGTCATTCATTTATGTGCTGACGTTATATTTTTGTTTAAACATTTTTAACGGATCTCTCTCCCGCACTTGCCTGAGACATGGTTGGTGGAACTTTTTGTAGCTTGCGGCAGTTCCAGCTGATCCGAAGCCAAGTGCAAGTGAGTAGAAAACCTGTAGACACGCTTCTATCCATACCTATATTAAATTATTATGCATTGAAGCGTGTGTAAATGTTCTGTTTGCATAGGTAATGTGAGACAGATTAAGTCAGTGATATCTGAGTATGACTGTAATGAGTCCATGGTAACATCTTAGGTCTGTGGTATTTGAGTGAATTTAGTTTTACGCCGCTTTTAGCAATATTCCAGCAATATCACGGTGGGAACACGAGAAATGGGCATCACACAATGTACCCATGTAGGGAATAGAACCCGGGTCTTCAGAGCGAACGCTTTAACCACTAGGCTACCGCCCCGCCCCCATGGATTATTAACATCTTAAAGCTCAAATATAATAGTGATGAGATTTGCATAAATTTATGAAGGAATTCTAAAGAAGTGAATGTATGAATAAGTCGAAATGTCATCGTGAGAACCTCACCTGTATATCAAGTAGTTTGACGAAGTCAGGAACGACGTAATACATTATGCCATCTACAGCGCCTGGGTATAGCAGGGTCATCACGAAGATTGAAACCAGGAGAAAGTACGGCAGCAGTGCAGTCACATACACAACCTGTTGTCAGGAAAGTACCATCCTTTAATGCAAAGGTTTCCTGTGTTATCAGTGGATAATATACAGGTAGTCAGTACACCCTGCAACATATGATTATTCCCTGGCAAATGTACTTACCAGAATCCTAGTTAATGGGACAAGAACTGAACCTGTATGCCAGGTATCTGATAATTCAAAATATACAAAGATACGCGGGTTTAAGATTTCGCATCCCTTAATTATTTTCAAAGCTAGGAATAACATTTATACAGTGTTTAAATATTATTTCTGCTTTTATTAGTTGTTTTTTTCTGGGGCGGGGGATAGCCCAGCAGTTAAAGCGTTCGCTAGTCACGCCGAAAGCCCGGGTTCAATTCCCCACAAGGGCTCATTTCTAGTGTTTCCTTGCTGTGTTGTTGCTAGAATATTGCTAAAAGCGGCATTAAAACCCAACTCACTCACTCGCTCACTTTTCTTCATTGTACCTACGTTACGGAGCCTGTACAGGGAGCCCAATAGAAATATGCAATATGGCCAAAATGTGTGGTTCCCTCAAAAATAGAAAGTAACAAAATATTAATAATGATAAGAATTTCTGCTAAAATCCTCTGTCTGAATACAGCAGTATTTCTGTCAACTTACTTTGCCAGCAGACTTGATTCCACGGATGAGACAGAGGAAGATCAAAACATGTGAAGCAAACAGACATCCCGCAATGTGCCACTGCACATACCCCACGTCCTCCAAGCCGGTAGACACACTCAGTACATTGTACCTGCACGGCATAACACACACAAGAAATATACAGCAAGTGACGGCGAGCCGAGGGGAGTTTGATATGCATGGAAGCGTAAAAGTACCAAGGTCTAAAAACATGTAACATCTACGTAGATACTAGATACATCTATTTAGATTGCAATATAATCTTAAACACTTTCATTAACGTAGAAAATAAGTAATCTACGTAGATACTACTTTCATCTCCATATATGATAATATAATGTAGTGAGACCGTGATGTTGTGTTGTTTGGCTACGGTCTTAGTGGATATCGGTTCAGCTACATGTGTGTGTGTGAGATCAGTTTTAGTAATATTCCAGCCTTTAGTAATATTCCAGCAATATTCCAGCAGGGGGACTCCAGAAATGGGCTTCAGATATTACACCCACGTGGGGAATCGAACCTGGACCTTCGGCGTAACGAGCGAAACTACCCCACCGCCCGGTTCATACTTAATTTAAGAACCTGGATAGACGAAACAGGCAGTGCTGGATGTAAGTGATTTCAGTTTTGATGTCATAAACTTGTAAATACGATTAAGCATCGCCACTTACGGAGCACCAAAGACACATGACATGTCTTTAATCCGTTGAAAAGACCACAAGTGAGGGTTCACTCATTTACAGTCCAAATGCATATATGTGGCGATGAATGTTATGATGCTGTGTGACAAATGTTTTCCTGGCCCTCTATGTGTGTGACCCTCTATGTGCGTGACTTTATGGCCCGGGTAAGCATGTTATGCCCGACCTATTGCACTCATCCTTAGTATAATGTGACACCACACAGGAAAGCGGCATGTATGCACGCCAAACGCTTTTGTTATCGAGTTCTGCAATAAATTATAGTGAACTGCAAAAACTCTCAGACTTTCCCATTCAAGTAAAATTTAAACTTTTCCAATTTCATGCAATCTCATGCCAAAATAGTCATTGCTTAATCACAGTTAATACGTTAATAATCACCCCAAGTATATATCAACTACGATTGATATCACAATCGCTTGTCATTAATGTGTCTGCATTTATCAAAAAAAGAACAACATAATCATCCATAAGACAACCATTATGAACATCAACTTCTTCTTTATTTGTATGCACAACGTTTCAGGGCTTTTCCGTGCCCCTTCATTCATCTGACGAAGGGTGACGAAAAGCCCCGAAACGTTGTGTATACAATAAAGAAGAAGTTGACATCCATAATATTTTGTCTTATGGATGATTATGTTGTTTTATACTTGGATAGCAACTTCTATATGCCTTTCAAGAACCACAACATAATCATCCTAATAGATGCTGGGTTTTGTCTGAATAGTATGTGTCCTGATGGATTCTTACTGCCAAAATTCCTCAGCAGGTGTGTGAGCCAAAGTCCCATTTTCCCACAACTCCGCTGCAGTTATTGTATGAGATGAATTCACTGCCAGAGATGCCATGTGGCTGCTGTTGGTGGTATTTCCACCTTCCACACACAGGTCGGTGTTCCAGCTGTTGCCACAAGTTGTCCACGGCAAGACGCTGGAGCAGGACTTCACAATGTAGTAGATGGGCCAGGCCAGGTAAAGGTTGTAATAAGGCGTCAAGATGGCAGTAAGTAGTACACCTCCCAAACCGACCCCTACTGGTTGATAAAGGTATATTATATTGTTTAATCAAAGGGAGTGGGCGGTGGCTATAATACGCAGAACACCCTCCGGCTGAAAACAACCAAAACATTTTTATCATTGATGGCAGAAAGTGCTTTAGTGTTTCTATTTTAAGACAGGATGAAATGTCTAAGAATATCTATAAGTCCCATATATTTAGAAATCTAAGAAATGTACACTGGCCTTTGAACATAGGACATATGCTCCAGACATGTTTGGCTGCCTTTCCCGAGAACTGAGAAATTGAGGACTCCAGGAACAAGGCAGGAAACCCAGCGATCATCAGGAAAAGTATGAAAGGGATCAAGAACGCTCCTGAAAAAGTAGCCCTGAATTACGAGTGGCTCATTGTTGTTTAGTTCATTACTGTTCAAGTAGTTTAGGCTCATTTCAGCTTGAGTCAGGGAAAGACAATCTAGTTCTCTACATTATTGGTAACATTATATGTTCAACAATCAGATGGTTTGTAGCATCGTACGTGAATTGAGCATTCGATACATGCAGAATTACTTCAATTGTGACTCAATGAGACAGAATCATAACGAGGTCTCTTATTTCTTTTGTCATTTTTATTACAAAGCATTTCGCGATCTGTTTGTGTTAAATGAACTCTTTGTGTAAGTTTATGTTTAGTGATTTCTTCAGAGACACTGTACATTACTTATGTTGTATATTACAGTTGTTGTACCTCCGCCGTTCCTGCTACAGATGTAGGGGAACCTCAGCAGGTTCCCCAGTCCGACACAGTAGCCCACCATTGTTAGCATGTAGTCCAGATGTCTGCTCCACGAGTCTCGTTGAACGTTAGGTCTTCCGTCATCTCCACAATGTATGCCTTTCATGGGAAATCCAGGATCAACGGCTTCTTCATGATTCCGCATGGTTAAGTTGGGGAATATCTGGACAAATTCAAGTACAGTGACGGATCACTGTATTCATAGTGTTAGGTTTTATTCATGCAGAAAACAAGGCCCTAGGTTTTAAAAAGATGAATTTTAATGTAGTTACGTTTGTGAATTAAAATCAACAGAGTGTCCTCTGTAAACGTTCAGCTTGAAAATGTCTCTTTTTCCAACACTGCTTTTTGTTGTCATCGCCGCTATTCAAACATACATAGATACTGGGGATAAATATATTACCTGATCTGCAAGAAGTTACCCAAATTCCATAAGTAATATATATGACAAAGAATGAATATGCGATTATAGAAAGATATTTAATGCTCTTAAAATTTCAGAGTTCCTTGATACTATATACATGCATATAACATATTTTGTTCTTATCATTTTCAAATGTTTCACAAAAGATACGCCTGAGAAAGAAGTAAGAATGTACCTCGAAACGTGGTGTTCCTTAAAATAAAGTTGACATGACATGTATATCACTTCTAAATGCCGCTTAAAGACTTTATAATATACGTAGTCGCAAGGTATGTTTTGACGGGCACTAACAAGCTTCCATAGATCCTGGTACTGTCGTACAGTGTTCAGTATGTCCTCGATTCGCTTTGTTGTACACTGAAGGAGGTACTGGAGTCCTTACAACCGGCATCTCTTCTTGCCTTAACATTCCTGTCCCTTTAGATACAAACACTGAAAGTGTTCTCAGATCTGAGTCTACCCGCTTCCTTATATCCTTCGCCATTTCCTTGACCGTGTTTTTCAACACTGCCATCTCCCCTACTGCATAGTTTGCCTGTTTGCTATGAGTGAGTACCGTGTTCACAGTCAAACAGAACGATCTGTCTCAACTTTACAAGCTTGTTCATACAAGTCATTTTGTCAGGTGCACCCTAAAGGTATACCATATGAAATAATGTCGTTTCTCATACATGGACCCATTTCTGATGTCCCCGCCGTGATATTGCTGGAGTATTACTAAAGGCGGCGCAAAACTAAACTCACTCACTCTCGTACATGGACGTTCTCGATATTCGACTTTAAGCTGCATACACAATTAATGTCATGGCCACGATATTCAAGCTTTAAAATTCTCTTATGATGTCTTGTATTTCTAAATGCTATACAACTCTCACTTCAAAATTTATGTAATTGTTGGTAATGTCCGATACATAAAATGACATATACATGTGACATTCTGAATTATTGGCAAACTTAGCACGCAATTAGAATCTCATGACTTACGTTCAACAGAGTCCCCATCCGTAATCATTGATCCGTTGGGGTGCTCAATGCATTCTATCTGATGTCATTAAGAATGACATCTTTGCCCTGTCTTTATGGCGGATATCGAAGACGAATATCATCTGTTATCTATATGTGACGCTTATGCCGATTTAAGAAAGGAGTACATACCACAGAAATATCTGGGTCACCCTATAAGGGAAACACTTATAAGAATTCTATCATCAAAAGACGAATCTGTCCGTGTAAAATTAGCCCTGTTTTTTAACACATTCGCTGTCGTTAAGGAAGAGTTTAATTTCTCCTGTCAACTAATCTAACAATGTTATGATGCTTTCCACTGTTTGCAATGTCCTTACTTTGCCTGTCATTGTAATACTATGCATACGGGCCAGAGGCCTTATGTACAATAAACCATCTTGATCTTGATCTTAATCTGGAAGAATATCAACACACACAGACTAGCTCTAAAGTAGTTTTGGATCAGCTCAGTCGCCAATAACGTATAGATCTGCTTAATGACAGTTCGATCATGTGGATGTTATTGTAAATGGTTACCCACAGTACAGTGTTAGTGTCACTCGTTTCTGTAGTCACTGACTACGCAGGTGTAAACGGTCTACTTACCTGTCTGTCTTTCAGCGCAAGTGTCTATGTACGATGCACTGGCCGCAACTCTGATGAAGTCAAGTAACGCTGGTGGCAGAGAGTACAGGAGTACGTGCTTTGGGGGCCTCACTGGGCAGATGTGACTTCTGGATATCTAAGGCTCAGATGCTGCCACAATCTGAATCACTAGGTATGGTGCCACCGGACGAAGTTTGTTCCTTTTCAAAATATTTAACGTGCCCCTATTCAACCAGCAGTGTATGGGTGCCGGCCCTCTGGATGAAAGGACAATGCGATTGTGTAGCGTTCTGAAGTCGGATATGCACGCCGATGCCATGACTACGCTGCCATGACCAACCCTGACGAGCTGTTACAGCGCATTATGCATGTGCATGGATATAAATTTGATACGCACAGATGCATATGCATATGCTTGTTAGCATGCTGCTAATATACTCTCCCAAAAAAAGAAACGCATCATGAAAATAGCAATTTCATGTAGCAATGAATTAAAACGTGATTCATTTTACAAAAGGTTTTGTTCTGTTTATGAGTCCTATGGTGTTTATGTTTTGAAACATCACAACAAAACGCACCATCCGTAAAATACCCGTATTTAACAGCATGATTTTCAACTTCGGCGTGTAGTGTCACAGAATACACAATTCACATGCAATGCACGTGAAAGTTGGGGATCAGATAGTCTCAATGATGGGTATAAAAGGTTGATCGCTGTCTGTCGATTATTCACTGTATTTGGAATATTGTTGACGAACGCAAAATGCCACGTCTAAGTGAAGCCAACCGCTGGCAGTCTCAACGTGCAGTTGCCCGACGCATGAATGTTCACCAAAGCACCATTTCACGGCTCGAGCGACCACTGCGGCGCAGGATCGCTACATCCGGGTACATCACCTGCGTCATCGAACAGCTACGGCGACCAGTACCGCTTGACAAATACCCGGATTGAGGAGGCTTTCTGCACAGACCGTCAGGAACAGCTTGAGAGAAGACCTTATTTTGGCCCTGTGCTTCGACAACAACATCGTCGACATCGAGTTCAATGGTGCATCAACGTTCAGGCCTGGAACCTACCGAATTGGCGTAGAATCTGGTTCAGTGATGAATCACGATTTCTATTAGAACGACGCGATGGAAGAATGCGGGTGTACAGACGTCGACGTGAACGTTTCGCCGACGCTTGCGTTCCCCAGGTGGACAGATTCGGCCGGGGCAGTGTTATGATGTGGGTAGCGATCACCTGCCGTAGGAGAAGTGATTTGCTGATGATCCAGGGCAACCTGACAGCTCAACGGTACTGTGGATGCCCACGGTGGTCACACGAGGTATTGACTTCAGCGCCACCACACGTCTCCATGTGACACTCAAACTGACTTTCCTCGAGTTGGTGCCAAAGACGGATAAGTCTGCATTCCCAGTGTGCAATTTCGCTATATATCATTGACTCATAAAGCCTACAAGATGTTTCAAAATATACATAAAAATACAGTTGAACTTCCTACATGCGTTTCTTTTTGGGGAGAGTATATATATATATATATAGTGATTGGCGAACATACAAACAACGCCTGCTAGGTGCTGAGTATGTTTACGGTCGTGTTTTACCTTAATGCGGTCGTGTTTTCATACCGTTAAAAAACTCCTTGGAAATATGTTAGATTCACAAATTGATATATTCTTTGTGCGGCTTGCTCACAATTGACCCTACATGGTATACGTAGTAACCAGTTGTAATAACGAAGTCAGCGATACAGTAGCTACAAGATGTTATATTTGGGATTACACTTTCTCAGTTTCGGTACAGATTCTAGTACATGTACTTCTATTTGTTTGAGTCCCATCCGGGATTCGAACCCACACCTTCAGAGTCGGGCTCCTAATCGCCAACACACAAAGTCTGCCGCCTAACCCGTTAAGCCACCGCGACTTCCACGTGACATAATATATTCATAGTATCTAAGCTCTTTAAACTTGCAAACTGATCGAGGTGATCCAATAACTTGATTGATTGGTTTATTGTTTAACGCCTCACCCAGCAATATTCCAGCTGTATGGGGCGGTCTGTAAATAATCAGGCCTGGGGGAGGCAGTACGGTGATTCCAGTGATCAACAGCATGAGCATCGATCTATACAATGGGGATACGATGACGACATGTCAACCAAGTCAGCGAGCCTGACCGCCCGATCCCGTTCGTAGCCTCTTACGACAGGCATGGGTCACTGAAGATCAATATTAACCCTGAAGATCACTGAAGATCTTCACTTGTCACATTAGCTTGGAGGGGTAGTGTTTGTTTTCATTCGTTGATCAATGCTACCCAGCAATCCTCCCAGCCTGTAAATAATCGGATCTGGAATCTACTGCCTGACACTGTGAGCAACGGTATGTTGGTCGTGAAAAGAATTAAATCGTCGGGTGGTCAGGAGCGGTCACTTGGTTGCCTCATCTCACAGTACAAGGAGTGAGTGAGTTTGGTTTTACGTCGCTTTTAGCAATATTCCAGCAATATCATGGCGGGGGACACCAGAAATGGGCTTCACATATTGTACCCATGTGGGGAATTGTATCCGGGCTTCGGCGTAACGAGCGAACGCTTTAACCACTAGGCTACCCCACCACCCCTGATTTTGTACAAGCCTCAGTATTGCGCCTGCAAAAGCATTCACTCTTAAAGGATCCAAATGATCTGAAAACGTTATTCCGCATTCATATCGTGGGGTTTCCCCCGGAATGTATAAGAAGGTAATGTTTACGTTACTTCAGAATACAGAATGAACGTATGTACGTCAAAATGTATTGTTCAAACACTTAAGAAAGTTCAAACACCATTTAACCGACTCTCTAAACGGTCGGATATTAAAAACTAACTTAACTTAACATTATAAAATTATAGAGCGATATACGACCCCCTACCAATAATTGTTTCATCAATGTTACAACAGTCAAGGTGTCAGCAAAGCTTACAAAGTGCAACTTTACAAAGCTGGTGATCATTACAGTGCCCTTCTTTTACCCGACTGGTCACTTCAGCATGTGTGACGAGTGTCGGGTGGACTGGGATAGGCTAATCGTTTTATTGTATTTTCATTATCTGATCTGAAATATATGCACAAACATGTGCTATATAGGATTCGCACAGTGGACTCTCCTTTTTAGTAAATATGGTATATGCATATGTGCTGTACATGTTTATTACCTTTTTGATTGTATTTTTTTAAAATGGCACTATGAATGTTTTGCTGAAAGAGTATATGCAGTATATCTAATGTGCGTGTAATACAATCAATTATGTATTCATAAATACTTGATACGTTTCCTAAAAAATCAATACAGATGCAGGATTTGCTACAACGTTTGCTTGTTGTCTAACGCCGCACAGCTATATGGCGGTCGTCTGATCACACAATCCAGTGATCTATATCATGAGCAGCGATCTACGCAGTTGCCCTTCTACAATGGATATTAATATGAAATGCATAATGTTTTTGTGTAGAGTGTGCTCTCTACCATCGCTTGATAATGTGTGGCTAGTATTTACTCAAAACTTATATATCACAATGAATACATTATTTCTTATTCGCTCAACGACATCCAATCAGCATTATTATTTGTTATTGTGCGTTATTTATGTTGGTTAAATAATACGCAGCAATATCATTAACGAAACCGAGTGATTTCGTCAGGTTTTCTTACCTTTTTTTTTTTTTGTTCGTTTCCAGATATCATCATTTTCACGTGATTATTTTGTTTTACTCGGCACACCATTTTCTGTTTTATGGCCTCTTGTTTGATAACCCATCGGCGATAACTGCATTTCAGGTCATGTCTGTGTTGGGACATTTCTATTTATATTCACTTTCTTTGTATTGTATTGACACTGTAGACATTATGAACTTTAGGGACACTCATTTAACACGGTTCAAGGAAGTATGGAAAATGCTGAACTTTCCGCTCCAATTAATTCACTGCCTAGATGTTTGGGTGAAGTATAATAACTATATATGTGTAAACAGTTGTACAGGGGTGGATCCAGAACCCACCCATCCTCTTACCCCGAAATAATTTCTCTCTGAGGAGCATTTCCCCATATCCTTTGGACCCCATGTTAAGTGTGCTCACACACCCCACCCCCACCCCCTATCCAAAATCCTGGATCCGCCCCCTGTTGTACATGAAATATTTGTACCACAGATGATTCATAGGACGGACACCTGTTTTACTTTAGCCAAGTACCCGTGGTTCTGCGGGTGCGAGCGGTGGGCTTGTGAGTCGGTGGGCTTGTGTTCGCCATATATTACTGTCATACCGTGACACTCCTTATTACTCAGCCCGAAAGAAATAATTCAAATTTAAACAGTGAATGATAATGTGATATTATCCACTCATTAATCACTTCACTGCGGCATTCCATCCTGAAGTGTGTGTCGTGGATGATGCCGTTAAACAGTATAGGCAATGTTAGTGACGACATGGCGGGCGCATGCTGCAATATAAGGGGACAACTCTTGCATCCTCACTGTCCTAACTCTGCATAGAGGTCTGTGTCTGCCGGAAATTAAGGCTATATGTGGGGAAAATATGCGTTGTTCATGTTGATGAATAAATATTGATTTACTCCCAAATTTAAGCCTACTAAGTCTACTAAATCTTGAATGATATGACGTTTCGGTCAGGGTGGCCATATTGAGTGTTGGCTTTACACTGAGTATGAACCATTGGTAAAAGTCGCACTGATATTTGTATTATTCTCTGAACACAAGGGTAATTACTGACATGATGACAGCTATGATACTATATTAAAAAAAAAACTGCCTACAGACATGAGCGAGTTTTACGCCGCTTTCAGCAATTTTCCAGTAATATCACGGCGAGGGACATCACAATTGGGCTTCACACATTGTCTTCAGCGTGACGAGCTTAACGCTTTAACCACTAGGCTACCCCAACGCCCTGCCTTTAGACATACGAAAGCTTTGCTCAAAACAATTCCGACAAAAACATGACCACTTGTTTATGAATCAGTATCAAATAATTGGTGGACCTATATATCCTGCTGGACTAGTGGCATTGATCACAAACCCATGCAAAGGAAAGTCAATTCACCACAAGCAAAACACGGAAACATTGCACCAGTCACAATACTGAACTGCATCATTTTGATCATTAATACTGAGATCGGGCCGTTTCCCTGTATCTGACAAGTTATCTAAAACTAAACAATAACAAAATATGACCAACAAGTCTGACTGCAGTTCAAGAGTGTTTATTGTAAAGACAAGAATAATGACGTAAGGATATATTCATAATCAAACACATATTTGAGAAATTGACAACATGGTTATAGATTACATTTATACCTGAGGTATATTACAATTACATAAACAGAACTACCTAAATGATATTATGAAATAGCAAGTTACATATACATGTCAAAGTCTAGTATTTCTGATCATAACTTATTAAGTATGCTTGTTGCATAGACAAGAGTTACATACACTTTACATATAAGTTAAAATCTATTTAGTAACCTTTCATACATTAAATGCAAGTCAAGTAATACATGAAAAATATAATGCAAGGTCTTACCTAAACAATACCAAAATATGACCAACAAGTCTGACTGAAGTTCAAAAGTGAAGTTCAAAAGTGAAGATATGCGGATGCTACCGCAGTATTTATATGCAAGGAACATGCAGTCAAACCTGTTGGGGTAAGACCCGCGGCAATGTTTCACAATGACCCTTAGGTATCCGCAAAAATTGAAACAATACAGTAGTATGGCATATTTACGCCGTATACATGTGTATCGTCACAGAGACTGGCAAAGGTAATTTAGAAAACAGCAACAATGAAGTGAGCTGTGATCTCACTAGCTTGGCTGGAAGATAATGGGATACTGACAAGGAAGTGATGGCCGGAGGATACGTTAACAAGCTGCTTACGCCGTGGTAGTTGCTTTGACACACCGAGAGAAGTGATGGGATATAATTTATGTTTATGGGGTATGTTTACCTTTGCCAGATATCCATGTAACAAGTGGCTTTTATAAAATAACATTTAATATACACATATATGAAATGTATGAATTGCATTTATTTGAAACAGTATAAATATGTATAAAACATAGTTCACATTGTTACTCTATAACAATACAACAATTATCGAAATGCTTTCCTCATGTCTACCAAAGAAACGTTTATAAAGATGCATTCAAGCTTTGAATGGTGAAATCATGATCACACCACTTTCGAGCAAACGTCGTGCGACGCTCCTTAAAATCTTCGAAGAAACAGCATTGCGATTGTATTTAAGTACAATGAATTTTATAAAGTAGTCAAATATAAGAAATCATATATTTTGGAAACACACACTCTTAGTACAAATTCTAGTATTTTGGGGGTTTGAGTACCATCCGTGAATCGAACACCCCTCTGAGAGTGAGTGTGGTTTTACGCCGCTTTCCAATTTTCCAGCAGCATCACGGCAGGGGATACCAGAAAAAGGCTTCACACATTGTACCCATGTAGGGAATCGAACCCGGGTCTTCAGCGTAACGAGCCAACGCTTTTACCACTAGACTACCCCACCGTCCCCAGTTTGACAATGGATCTCTCTGTATAGCCTCATTGTTACATGAGCAGGAAATCAACATTCATTTAAATAACTAGTTCTTGTGCCAAACTTTACCTGATGTTTTTTGTGTGCAGAGTGGTACCTGTAGATTTATAAACTGAAATAATAGGTTGCCTAGAAATCTACACGTAAAGGATCAATGTAAAACTGACAAACAACAAAGAAATATTATACAATACACAATTGTATAAAGTCAAATGTACAAATCTATACAAATTGCTGCAAATGAAGAACAATGGCAGTAGACAGTAGACTGGCAGTGTAAAATTCAATGGTAGTATAAAAATATTTGACATTACAACATTCACTGGCAGTATAAAATTCATTGGCAGTATAAAATTCATTGGCAGTATAAATTCAAAGGCAGTATAAATTCAATGACAGTACAACATTAAATGGCAGTGCGAAATTCTCGGGCAGCATAAAATTCAATGGCAGTACAACATTAAATGGCAGTGCGGAATTCTCGGGCAGTATAAAATTCAATGTCAGTACAAAATTTCAGTGTTTTGTTTGCTTGGTTGTTTAACGCCGCACTAGCAATAGTCCAGCTATATGGCGGCGGTCTATCAATAATCGAATCTGGACCAGACAATCCAGTGATCAACACCACATCGACCTACGCAACTGGGATAGATGGCATGTGTCAGCCAAGTCAGACAGCCTGTCCATCCGATCCCGTTAGTTGCGTGGGTTGCTGAAGACCATTTTTACCACTTTTGGTATCCTCCCAAAATGCAGACCCCTTAAAACAACACTTGTTATGGTTGGTTGCATCCGGGATTAGTAGGCTGTACCCTTGATTAAGAACAATGGTATCACCCACGTAACGAGTTTTGGAAGTCTAGCAAATGATCCCTCATTTTGTCAATATTTATTTAATGAATAATATGTAAAGGAGTGACCAGCACGGCCCAATTAATTAGTGTGCTATTTTTATCTGCATTTTGGAAGGTCTGCGTTATGGGACTAAACCCTTCACGGCTATCTTGTAACTCTCTTCCCAATGTACAGGAACTTTCTATCTGAACCATCAGGGTTGGCCCGGTTTCGCAGTGTGGTAAACTTATATTGCTGAATAATCTCGAACGTGGGTTTTGGCTACATTCCAACATTTTCACCAGAGGGACACCGGGCAATCCTACCACCCTTTTCAGTTAAGAACAACAACAGTGCGAATGTTACCTCAGTTTGCCCAATTTGGTTGCCTTTTACGACCAGCAATAGGATGCTGAGGACCTATTCTTTCACGGGTCCACACATGGGAGGAGCTATTACCCATCACTCACCACGAGGAGGTTGCTCTTTACAAGTGCCAGTCACATCGATATCACCATTAAGTGGTATTGTCACTGACACATTTTTCTCTATATATTATGTACATCAAAACAGTGCCAGTCACATTATCATTAAGTGGTAGGGGACACTCAAACATTACACTGTACAATACGTACATTAAAATGTATTGCTCATAAAAATATATAAATGTACAATTGATATATTTAAATAAGTATTTACCAAGAGTATTTTAACACAAAAGCTCCTTGTTTATGACAGGTAATGTCCACTGTACATGATGGACGTCACATCATCATTAAGTTGTACTGAAACTCACACTTCTCTCTATACAGTACAACCAGAAATTATTGAGAATTTAAAGATTGTAATTTTTTACTTTTTTTCACTCATTACTCACGTATCAAATGTGAATATTAGCAGAACATAACTCCAGATTCAAAGACAGGTGAACAGTTAGTATTTTGTCAAGTCACCATGGCCAACAATGCAGGCTTCAATGCGGCGGGGCATACTACTGATCAAAGAAGTTAGAAAGTCGTGGTCCATGCTGTCCCAATGTTGGACCACCTCTTCTTTCATTTCAGCAATATTTGTCAGATATTCTTTATTGACACTTTCCTTCATAAGTCCCAAAACATTTTTTATTGGATTTAGGTCAGGGCTATAGCTTGGCCAATCTAATAATGTCATATTTTAGGTCCGAAACCAGGCCTGTGAATGCTTTGAACGATGTTTTGGGTCGTTGTCCTGCTGGAAAATCCAAAAAATTTCAAAGAACACGTGAGCAGATGGAAGTAAATGTCCCTCGAGAATATCTGTGTACCGCTAACTGTTCATATTCCCTTCAAACACACAGAGGGACGTTGCCCCTAACACAGATATGCCACCCCACACGTCAAATTTTGGACTGTACTTTGGGCGCTGATATAAATGTTTTTCAGTTTGTTTGGTCCAGAATTTCAGTGTATTAGGAAACAGCCACACAGAACTTTCATCTGAGAAAATCACATTGTCCCAGTTAAAATTTCTATGCTGTAAGCACCAGTTCAACCTTCGCTCCTTTTGTTTGTCACGTTTCATGATCGGTGATGGAATTCCTTGACTTTTCTGCCAATCCACTGCATGCAGCTCAGTTCTAATTGTCTCCTTACAGACAGCCACAGTTCCTCTATCAATCATATCCAGCCTTAACTTTTCTAAAGTCCTTCGTTTGTTTTTAGAAACAAGAATACCAAGCAGCCTCCTGTCACCGACAGTCAATTTTCTGGGCCTACCTGCTCAATGCTGCCATATCCATTTGCAATATTTTTCAAAACACGATAAACAGTGGACAAAGGGATGCCTGTTCTACTTGAAATCACCTAAGCTGATCTGATGTCCTTGTTATAATACTCTAAAATCAACTTCCTCTTCTCTAAATCATCCATACTGAGGATCACTGAAAATGTCGTCTGCTAGCAAGTTAACAAAGGGGATAACTCTTCACAAACTAATGAAAAAGGATTAACGAAGTTGTCTCTCTTGAATGAAACCAAGCACTTGATAGCTGGTCAAGGTTGTTTATACTAGAAATCCGATTAAACATATTCCTAAAATTCTCAATAATTTCTTGTCATACTATACAAAATGTACATCAAATCAGTGCCAGTCACATCACCATTAAGTAGTACTGACACTCACACTTCTCTCTATACAATATGTACATCAAAACAGTGCCAGTCACATCACCATTAAGTGGTACTGACACTCACACTTCCCGCTATAATATATTCACATTAAAATAGTGCCAGTCACGATCATGCTTCAGCGTCTGTAAATGTGATACTTTCACCATCACCTGATCTCCAGCATCCAACTGAGCCAGTCCACCAGCATCACTCGGGTATTCCAGGTGAGCTCCGTCGTTGATACCCTCTCTACACTCAGTCACAGCATTCTCAAACAACCACGACCTGCGTCTGGCTGGAGGCACTATAGCGGACAACCTGGTGCTGGAATGTCTGGAGTGACTTGTCATCCTTCCTGTTGTCCCTCGATGTAGAACTTGGCGTGACTTGTGATGTGGTACACTCCTGGTGCTGGTACTGTGATGGAGCCGTTCTTGTAACGCATTCCATTGTACAGGAGCTTTCTGTCAGAACCATCAGGGTTGGCCCAGTTCCTCATTGCTGAGAGAGAACCAGGTTGCACTGAAATACATGGACATCAATATAGAAGACTTAGTGCTCAATGAGAGAAATGAAAGTTTTATGGAAGCTTGAAGATTGTGGTTTGATAGATAATGCAAATTACCAATAAATCAATCATCAATATTGAGTCAATACGTTGCAGGTAAAAAAAAATCATACATGTGCGCATTGTTGTAAATGTATACGCATTTTACATTACAGTAATGACTTCTCTGAGTTTACTTTGATTTAACATTCAGTGTTGCCTTTATGTAAAATCCGGTCTTCAGAAGTGGGAGATCAAACCTGCTGTTCTTGTATCGAAATCCAGCCCTGAACTGAAGATCTGAAATGTGACACTGGCTTCAGTAGATTGAGGAACTGAAGATCTGATAACCCAAGCTGCCGTTCTAGAAGGTTATAGTCACTTTCTCTGCACAGACCAACAGAAATATATAGTTATCAAGGCATTCCAACATAGGTCTTAATACGTAGACTATAGCTTCACTATGTCAGCCTTTGATATACCATGCTGTATAACATAATGGTTAATCTTATCCATGTTCTTACCTGGCAGACTTAATCAATACTTCTCTCCATACAAATTCCTCACGGGCAATTATCTTATTTTATCTTATCCAATATGTGGGGCGGTGAAGTAAGCTAGTGGTTAGAGCGTCTTCTCGTCACGTTGAGACCCAGCTTCGATTTCACACATGGGTGCAATATGTCAAGCCCATTTCTGGTGTCCCCCGCCGTGATATTGCTGGAATATTGCTAAAAGTGCCGTAAAACCAAACTTACTAACACTTCTCTCTGTACAATATGTACATTAAGAGGTATTGCTTAAGAAAACATTTTTTATTTAATGTGCAATTGATATAAACATGTATTTACCACAAGTATTTCAACATACAATGGGTTAAAATAAACTTATGACACGTAATGTTCACTGAACATACGTTATACTATGCCATGTTATGCTTGCTAAAGCACCGATATGCTATGACATGTACCTTGCGGCTGTTCCTGGTTCGATAGTTCCAACCCCCTGTATGCCTGTGGACAACAAATGAGCTGAAGGTAGGACATTATCATGTAAAACAAACATTTAACAAATGCATATATTTCTTACACTTTATTCATATTACACTTTATTTTTTTAACACATGAAGAATATGCTGTTTCTATTGAATGTATGGATAACTTGAGCATTTCGAGTATTTTGTTCATTTACATGCGTTTGCATTAACCTTACATATATTTCTAAAAATTAACAATTTGCTATGAAACAATCACATGTTAATATGAAAGTTCAAACAGGGTTGTTTGAAAATCATTATAATGCTGCGTGTATGGGGGGTTTTAACAAGAATTCATCGGTATTTTCATGCAAGTGGTTTTTCCTCATCTTTCACATTTACATCAATGAACCAAGACCTTGATCAAGCTTCTTGTGCATCATGCAAACATTTGAATTACTTGAATCAGAGACTGTACAGACGAAAGAAGTTTACGCTGACATAAACTTTATTCCTGTCCGTAATAATAAGTAAAACACTGAAACAAACAAAAAGTTCCAGTCAGAACACAATCTGGAAACATTTTCGGAATACAGAATTAAAGAGTGTTACGACTGCATAACTACAGTGAAGCGCTAGCATGGCGGATACTTTGAGATTTTATGTGCGCTTCAAATTGACAAATTGGACATGAAGGCTATAGTATACTCATTTCTGACAATAATTAACTATTGGTGAAAATATTGCTGTTTACACTACACAAGAATATGCTAGCACTAAAAATAATGTAATATGCCATTTATGATACTAACTTACTCTGAACAGAGCTCAAACATACTGGAAACTAATTTGAATCACCACGCTGCACTGCACGGGAATGAAAAACTGATGCAGGTGCACATTTTAACCCATAAACAACCTTATGGAAACTGACATGTAAAAACTGTTATAGAAACAACATCTAGGTAATATTATAAATCATATACATACACTTTGGTGGCCTATTTTTACTGTTAGTGGGATGGAATCCCGGTCCTGTAGCAAGTTTGCCATTGCGGCCTGTTTCCATGTGCTATTTACTAAGGGAGGTAACTCTGCGACTCGGTTAGTGAATTGCGAAATAAAAAACTAACGAAACGAAACACCACAGAGACCATATTCTATTATATGGTCTCTGCTTGAATCACGTGGCAATCACAATGTCAAGGATAATTAAAATCAACCGACAAAACCAATGCACATTATTATATTCTTCAGACTCATTAGTTAAGAGTATGTAGCAGGGCGTGGAGTCATCTAGTCTGTCGTACAAACCCTGAAGCAAATATATCCAAGAAAGCCCACACAAGTCTAGAAAATGTGGCAACTCTAGATTTCCTCAGCTTCAGGGTCTGTACCAATCTGCTGAATTCACAAGCCAGAATATGGCTTGTAATTATCAGTTGATCTCTAGCTGTCACTAGTGTTTAATATTAACTCATGGGGAGCCTCCCCCACCACTCCCTAAGACCCCACACTGAGCCAAGACCTCCTGCTTCTGCCTGTCCTCTCACTCCAGACAAACAACATGTGTGATTACACTAGAGACCTGATGACATAAAATCTGAGAATTTTCTTTAACTGTTTCATTTTACACTGGCGAGGAGAGGGGATCATTTCGAAAAGTTTTCCATCTCAGGGTAAAAATGAATTGGAACTTTGATGACTGACTGAGTTTGGTTTTACGCAGCTTTTAGCAATATTCCAGCAACATCACGGCGGGGGACACCAGAAATGGGCTTCACGCATTGTGCCCATGTGGGGATTCGAACCCGGGTCTTCGGCGTGACGAGCCAACGCTTTAACCATTAGGCTACCCCCACCGCCCCGGAACTTTGATGAGGATGAAAGTAAATAGACATAGCATTTGTCCAAATCAGAATACAGTGATTGAAAAGTACTGAAGTGGTGAAGATGTCTTGTATTGTTCTCCATCCAGGAGTGGAAAATCACTGACATTCGAAATTCTCCCTATTCATACAAGTCAGTAGAAAATACAAGCCATGCTACTGTTATTGTTGTGTCATCCTTGATTTGCATAATGAAGAGACAAACAGAGAAATATAAATCATTACGCTCAAAGCAATGAGCGGCAACGATCTAGGCATTTGTGACTTCATTAAACTTTGACATTGTCATGGGGATCTGATGGCATATTGTTATCCCCCGCAACAAATTACCGATTCTGAAGGTAGAACTTTTAATGGTAGGCCTACCTACTTGAGTCAACTTGACAATATTGAAAAAAGTAAACTATGTGTTAAAAAAACTTTCAATACTTAGGCTCCACTTTGTAATATAGCAGACTTGGGCGGACACATATCATTGCATCCCATTTGTGTAGATTGATGCTCATACTGTTGATCACTGGATTATCTGGTCCAGATTCTATTATTTACACACAGCTGGAATATTGCTGAGTGTGGCCATAAACTTATACTCCTGCTATATAAAGACATTTGACATAGGGGATAACTGACATATACATGGGATATTAATGACTTTTATCTCCTTGTTACATTATATATATATATGCGACATCAATTAAACTTCCACATATAGTGCAGACACAACCTTTGGATTTTGGAGAATATAAATAAATTTGGAATTCTTTTGGGTGAGATCCCAGTTGTCCAGCCATAGGAATATCAAGATATGCTACCCTTAGCTGGTATCCCTGCTTGCTCTCAAAATAGATTTGGTGACACTTGATACTCATTACCCCACACCACTGGCAGTAGGACCTGGAGGCAGTGGGGGCAGTAAATATTCCTGTCACACACAATTAAAGCAGTAATGGGTGATAAGAACCTTTGTACATGTTGTGAAATTCCAAGAAATTATCCCTCTGCAGATTTGTTTAGTCTCAGAAAATGAAGAAAGTCTCAGGGCTCCTTTTCGTTATATAATATTTTTACTATCAACTTTTTTCAGTAAAATATGTCCATTTCAGAGACTAGTTATTAGTCTAGGAGTCATCCCACAGATGAAATTTTATGGCCGCTACAGTACAAGTACATGAGTGTAACCAACAGAAATTGAGTTCATCCTAGCACGCTGAAAAAGCTACAAAAGAGAGCGTAGATCCTTGATGTAACAAGTTTGCGTCATTTGTTCATATTTACCTCATCCCAGGCTACATTCAACGCTGGGTTATTCCGTGCTGTTCCCGGTGATGTTGCACTGTAAACGATGGCGACGACGGCAATAATACCAGCAACAGTGTTCAAGAGAAGTATCACACCGAAGACGACTTTGACACTTCTCCTTTCACCACCGTGACACACATCAAGGCAGTCCACTGAAAACGATCCATCAGTATTCATTTTTAAATCAAAGACTGGATGCATTGAAATGACGGTCTGTTCCATCTCACACTGTCCGAAATATTGACTAACCCAAAGACGTATAATGTCTATGACTAACCAAATTTTAAACTGCATGTCTATTTGATTGGCTTATCAATTCAAAACAACTCAGGGGTTAGTAAAGACGATCGAGGCGGAGACGCTATAACTCCAAGGTCCTCCATGCATAGAGATTGCGAACTGGTACTGACGCCGTTTACGCCTATCTAGGGAAATATGATACTAGATACTTTGATATCAGCAACATCTCAAATTTTCAAACAGTCTTCACCATGCCCCAGATAGCAATGTCCGCTGGACCAACATTGCCATCATTGGGTAACGTTAGTAATGTTATTAACAGACGGTGCTATCAGAGGCGGGCAGGTTGACCAAGCATATGCTGCTGTCCCCGAGATATTTGAATCTTTGAAGGGAATTTAGAAGTTATACTGGGACTCTCTATTATCGCGGCATGCGAAAACATCGGGAAAGCAGAAACACCACGCCCCGCATCGGCTGTTTACAAATGCAAATTACGAAAAATATATTCATCGCTCTTGAAAAAGTCATTTATTTCATTGGAATGTTGTGTGTAATCGGAGTTATATTAAAGCATTCATCTTTTTTTTAGTAAGTTCTAGAAAATTTTGAAACTAGTATGACCCCTACTGCCCTTTACATCTAGCATGAATCAAAACTTACTTCGTCAAGAGCAGGGCGGTGGGGTAGCCTAGTGGTTAAAGCGTTGGCTCGTCACGCCGAGACCCGGGTTCGATTCCCCACATGGGCACACAATGTGTTAAGCCCATTTCTGGTGTCCCCCGCCGTGATATTGCTGGAATATTGCTAAAAGTGGCGTAAAACCAAACTCAGTCAGTCAGTCAGTCGTCAAGAGCAATCCTGTGACAACTATAAGGTCATTTGCATATTTTCCGTGCTAAAAATATAACAGGAATGGACGTATTATGCATTTTCACTCTGCACACGGCATCAACCATTCGTGACCCACTCGTGTTATTCCGGGACAAGCCGAATACGGAGTTTACGGAAAGGGGCGAGTGGTGACGAATGGGCAGCAACTTGTATGGTACATTTTAAGCCGGAAAAAGAATATTGTAACGTTATTGTTACCTTGTATCCAACTGAATAGAAGTTTCTGATGTTTGGGTTAAAAGCATGATGATATTACTAATGTGAATGAAATTCCTAAATATTTTTTAATGATCAAACTATTTAGATTCGTTACTTGTATTAGTAAACGTTTCACAGTGTCATCTGCTTGTACCGCGTGCCATAGTAAGAAAATAGCAATACCGTGATAATAGAGAGTTGCTTCAATTTCCGGGTCAAACGAGACAATCGGAATTGCCGCAATGGTATTAAACGAGTTGCGACCATGTGTCACATTATTTGTGACAGAAATGAAGATTAAACATCAGTCAACTGAAAATATACATAAAATACTAAATGTCAGTAGCCGTTCATAATCCCGATGGCGACAACATTAACTACCGCGATAATAGAGGGTCCCATGCTAAATGCATAAGAAAATCAAGATTTTATGGATGTCAACTTCTTTATTGTAAATAACTGTTAATAAATTACCCGATGAAGGAGCAAGCATACACTCCGAAACGTCGTGTTATTCACAATGAAGAGGTTGATATAAATCTTGCTTTTATCCCCGATATATTTGCATATCACGTGACTGGCGCACATGTCAGGGGGTTCTGGCTTGTAAACAAACACACGTGTACTCAGACCGCAGCAACGGCGCATTAGCCGTTGAATCTTAAAATTGTGGGGTATAATGCCGCATACATTCCTCAGACTTATTAATACTTCCTATAAAAGTCAGGTCGTAAACAATCGAGGACTTTGTATTTTTTACACGCTTCCGAGATCGTGTTCATGTTTGTTAACTTCTCAAAACATGATTACATCTCATTACATACATGTATTGTGTGTAAAAACAATGTATATTGTAGTTACAAGTTCACATTCATGTATTTTGTCGTAAGATTTAATGGTTATGATTCGCTCCAGAGATATGCTCGAATTGTCCCGCGATCTCCAGGCGATTACGTCATCAAAACATGTGTTGTTGATTCAGAGATTGTTTATACATTAAATTTGCTAAAATATAAATGGATATTTAAAAAGTACTTACGCAGGCGTGTTCATGGAGGTGGTAACTGGTAAACTATATCCGTTTAATTTAATGTCACGTCTTATTTGGATGTTAGATCGCATTCTTCTCGCTCTAACGTTCGGCGTCTTCTGCTACATGCATTACCGGAAGTACGATGACGTCATATAGCATACTCTCGTTCTAAAGCAGTTAGAGAGACAACACCAGCAATGCATAATCATCTCATGAGCAGAGTGACCAGTCCACCGAACTTTTCTTTTGTAGGGCCTTTATTACCGGTAATTTTTCAGAGCATGGTTTTATTGGGTAAGAGTTATAGGTTAGGGGTATAAAAGGGCTGATTATTTTTTTCCTCCTGCACTCCTGGGGTTTTACAGAGACAAGAAGCGCGAGAAATTCACTATTGTTTCTGTAGACTAGGCAAACAGAGTTTTAAGTTTCTTAAGTTTTAGTTTAAAGAAGAAATAAAGTTTTGGTTAGATAATGTTAGGTAGTTAATTTTTGTTTTATTTTGCAGGGAACATTATTTTGGGGAATTAAGTTGGGATAAAGGGCAATAGTATAGGTACAGTCAAAAGGGTTTTCACTTTTCACAGGATCCTTGGAGGCATTATTATTTTTGTTGTTTATTTAACTTAGTTTATTGTTGATTTTATGATATATACTGAGTCAAAAAAGAAACTTCACATTCTTTCTTCAGGGCACTATAAAAGAACAAGAGATAGTAAGATGGTTAAATTGTTATTATTTCATTGCTGAGATGTGTGTGATGTACTCGATACACTGACAGTGCCATAATCAGTTCCATTAGGCTACATCGCCGTTCCAAAACATGGGTATACAGAATGTCAAGTCACAAGAATAAAAATGCAAATTTTCTCAGTTCAATATCGTGTACGGCCGCCCCGCGCATTCACCACTGCCAAACACCGTCTCCTCATCGACTGCCTGATGCTTGGGAACACGTGGTTGGGGATTCTGGCGCCATTGTTCTTGCAAGGCAGCCAAGTTCCTGCAAATTTGAGGTTGGTTCCTAAGACCACGAAGCCTTCTCCCAAGTGCATCCCAAACGTGCTCTATTGATTAAGGTCAGGGGACCTCGATGGCCAGTCCATGAGGTTGATTCCAGCGTTTTGAAGGAAATTTCAGGTCAACATCGCGGTGATGCGTCGCCGAGCATTATCATGCTGGAACTGTAGACCTGCGCCATGAGCCGCCATGAAAGGAACGAAGTTCAGGGGTGAGCACCTGGTCGTCGTAAGCAGCAGCTGTGAGGTTTCCACGGATGATAGAAGTCGGGAACGGTTGTTCCCACAGAAAGCACCCCACACCATGCAACTCCGCCCCTGAATCTGTCGACCTCCTTGTACACAACATTGGGCATACCGTTCACGACGTCGTCTCCAGACTCTATGCCCGCCGTCCGCGAATCTGAGGGTAAACCTAGATTCATCGCTAAAGACGACTCGATTCCAGTCTCTGGGTCCATCGGGAGATGACGTTGGGCCCACAGCAGACGTTGACGTTGATGAAACGGTGTCAATATTGGCCCACGATATGGACGCTAAGAATGGAGATTGGCAGCCCGCAACCGATTTCGTTGAATGGTGTGTGAGGACAGTCGACCTCTAAACATCTCAGCCCTGGTTCGTGTAGCCGGCAGAAATCTATCACGTAGGTGACGTAGGGACGATTTGACGGTCTTCTGCTCGTGGCGTCACACGTGGACGCACCCAACCTTGGGCGATCAGAATTGGTGCCAGTTTGTTGTAGACGACCCGCAAGTCAAACACAGTACGACGGCTGCATCCCATTGATCTTGGCGACGCCAATAACTGATCTTTCCGCTTGCAACATGCCAACGGCACGCTCACGTTGCACTTTGACAATCGTGGCATTTCAAGTACCGTTAGAACTGTGGTTTAAAAGTGTTTTTTCAATTCTTGAGGCCAATGCAAACACGTGCATATGAAGGAAACTTCGATGCGAAGATCATGTGATCGACTGCACGTGCAAAACCTGATTTGGCACTAACGTCATTTGCACGACGAATGGATGGGTTTGAGTGGGTTTTGCTAACGTTTTTCTAGAGTCGAAAGATAGGGATCCCATTTCGGATACATAGATGTATCATCAGAGAAAAATTATTCATTATTTTTCAAATTACATTTTGTGAAGTTTCTTTTTTGACTCGATATATATAAGTTGAGTTGGAAATAAATTTATTTGGTTTGCAAAATCTTGTGTTTGGTTGTCATTATGACTTTAAACCCCTGAATCCTGCGGACCTGAGGACCGGAAACAGCATCCTCCTGTTACAAAAGATTCACTGACTTTATTTATTTGTTAGAATTTTCTTTTAATCCGTTTTTACATATATTTTCAAAACAGACGGTTGGGATGGGACATAAAATATATCCTGACTACCACGTTCCCCACCCCCAACCCATTACAGTTTAATGGTGTCAGAAGTGGGATTCTCTTTTTGCATAAATACATATGATGTGGAAATTTTACTCAGCTTATTATCAAAATAGTTTTTCTGATAAACTCTATGCAATGGAAGGCCCTGCAACTAACTTAAGGTCACGTACCAAACATATTGTGGATAATCAAACCAGTATCCAGGTCGCGAGAAAATGTCGCAGACCATTGGAAGATGGTGCCACAAGAGAAGATAGCGCCAGGGCTGTTGATCCGAGTAGGTCCTTCAGTGAAGGCGACTTGCAGGGTCATGGCAGGCAGCAACATTTTCAGTGTGATTCGCAGTCGCTTGACTGAACAGCTAAAAGTACTGCTCACCATCTTTGTATGACAATGTGTCATACAGACCTCTTGGAAGGAATGACCATCCTTCTCAGCAAATGGCCAGTCACAATGAGATGAACATGGTTAACATCATGGCACAGCTCTCAAACAGAGTTTTGAGCTTAGCGGAGCGGGTTAATGCCATGGATGTCAGACAAACTGATTCTAGAGCTACTCCTGTGGCGCGGACCTCTTTGCACTTGCCAAAGTTCAGTGGTAAGGGTGATTATGCTGCCTTTGAGGCTCAATTCAGGAATGTGGCTAGGCAATCACATTGGACTGACCAGCAGTGTGCTGATATGCTAGGATGCACTCTGGAAGGAGCAGCACAGGTGGCTTGCAGATACCCTTCGGGAGACGATATGGTAGAAGTTTTCCTGAGGTTAAGCAGGAAGAATTACTAAACCGAAAGCGTAACCCTGGGGAGTCAATAGCAGACTTGAGAGATGATGTTTGGCGACTTGTCCAGGAAGCCTATCCTGATCTGGATGATGGCCTCCAGGAGAGATTGGCGCTAGATGCTTTGAAAAGAGCAGTTGACAAAGATCTCCGTCTCCGGTTCTTTGACCAGAGTGTTTGCACACTACAAGGAGCAGTTGATGTTGCAGAAAGGTATGAGTCTGTATTGGACGGACCAAACTGTCGAACCACTCACAGGTCTGTGAAAGCCGCTGCATACACACGACCTGCAGAGAAGAAAGTACATTTTGAGTCGCCGGATAGAACTGAGGATAAACTAAATGTTTTTTCGAAACAGCTGGCAGACTTACAAAAAAACTGTTGACAGATTGTCTCAAATGCAAGAAAGTGGTAGTTCAAAGGGACAAAACAGTTCAATGAGTCAAACTCCTTATGGCAGTCCAGGGCACACCCAAAATAGGGGCATGCGCAGAGCTCAGAGTCCATCTAGGCATGACACGAGAGCAAATTCATTTTGTTCAATCTGTCATAGACCAGGACATTGGACATCACAGAGTGTGAGTCAGTCAACTGGTAGAGCAACTCCGCAGCATGCGCAGGGAAATGCCAACCCGCCATCTCAGACTTACGTCGGGATTTGGCGGATGACAATGTTACATTGAATCCTAAGACTCAAGACCTAAGACTAAGACTCAAGTGGTCAGCTGGAAAAGGAGGTGATTGCAGCAGAGGCGCAACCACAAAATTCTCTCACAGCTGATTCTCAGCAAGTTATTGCAATGATGAGACCTTGTTTTAAAATAGGTGATGAAGGCCAGTTAGTGAATATCAAACTGGATAATACTTACGTTACTTTGTTAGTGGATACTGGTAGACAAGTGTCTTTGATATCTCCGAGATCTTACAAGCGTCTTCCTCGTTCTGTTTCACTGAGTCCTATTACTTTGTCCTTGGAGGCTGTTAATTGAACCTCATTTCCTGTAAAGGGAATATTCAAGGCATTGTTGACTTTAAGTGAAGACATGGAACCTACGCAGGAAGAATTTCTTGTAGCTGAGATTGAGAACTCATTCGAAGTTGATTGTATTTTGGGAATGGACATACTCACTGATCTAGGTGATGTAGTTGATCTTGCAGATCACAGGATCAAGTTACAGGGAGTTTGGTTACCTACTTTTGCAGCTGACAGAACTGTAGTAGTAGCTGAAGATACCTTGCTTCCACCACAGTCAGTGTCTTATGTTAAACTGTCATTACCCAATAATCAACAGAACAATAATGTTCTTGTAGAGCCATGTAAGGAGTTTTTAGCACAAT